GAGCCATCCCTGCTCCCCCTGAGCCATCCCTGCTCCATCTGAGCCATCCCTGCTCCCTCTGGAGCCATCCCTGCTCCTGGATCCAGTGGGAAGGAGCATCCCAGGCCTCCAGGCACGCCCGTGGCTCTCACGGGACGTGGTGTGGTGGGTCTGGAGCAGCAGAGCCTGGGCAGGGTGGGGGAATCTCCTTGGGCAGGGTGCTGGTGTTCCTAAATCTGCTGTCCCCTGGCAGGGAGCAGTGACCATGCAACCCACAGTGCACAGCCCTGCCTGCAGCGGGCACCTCCTCTCCAGCAGCTCCTCACCCTTAACTGAGGCAAATCCAGATGTTGCCACTGCATTCCCCAGCCCAGCTGCAGCTGGGATACACCAGGAGGGAGAGCGCTGGAAGCCTGAGGCAGCTCTAGAAAACTGATTTGGGTTTTCTCGTGTTTGCAGATTTTTTAATGATAGCAGTCTTAATTGAGGTTTGTTTTTCCAGTTGTTCCGAAAGGCTGCAGGCATGATTCCCAATGCTGTGTCTTAATTGCAGTGCTGCTTGGAGTTTTTTAATTGATGTTTCCTCGTAGCTATTGGTGTGCTCTTGTGTCTTCATCTCAAGGCAGGTACCTCTGGACATTAGCAGGAGTATTAGGAAAATTATGAGAGTAATAGAGCAAAGAAGAAACACAGTTCTCTTGTAATTGTAACTATTATTTTATTTTAAAAAATGGCCATTGCTTTTTTCCAGGGATATTGTTTTCACTGTCAGCAGTGGGCCCTTGCTTGCAATAAAAGAAAGTGCACGTAGCAGGCTGGTGGAATGAGCAGAGGTGTCCCTGGAGTGCTGCTGTGTATGGCTGTGCCCTGAGGAAAAGGAAGAACAACATTGATTTTCAGTTATTTAGTGCAATTTAACACTGTGGGCTCAAATTTCCGTCCCTCCCTGGGGTGGTTTTCTTTTCCCATTTATTTACTTTCCCTTTGGTTTCTTTTCTATTTGTCGGGGGAATGGGCTAGAAAAGAGAAAACAACATTTCAAGGTGTTGAAGGTGCCTGTCTGAGTGAAGGGGGGAGCAGGGGCAGGAGGTCTGCAGGTGCTTGGTGGGGTGGGCACGTTCCCAGGGCAGCCCCTGGGGGCTGGCGTTGACCTAACTCATGGCAAATTGAACACATGGGCAAAAGGAATTGTTTTACTCCCCTCAACCAGTCGTACAGAACTGAAAATCCTAACTGAGAAATTTCCTGGCAAGGAGAGCGCGGAGGGGCGTGAGAAATGCTGGAGTTTTGGCTCGTGCCGTGGGATAAAACTCCTTCCAGGTGTTCTTGGCATGGCTCTGGAGCCTGGTGGGGCATCTCTGGTGCATCTCTCTGCCTGGGGCTGCAGGGAAAGGGCAGGAGCAGCTCCCAGATGGGAGCCAGGGGAGAAGCCTGGCTGGATGTCCAAGCTTGGCAGGGATCTCCCAGGGTCTCTTCAGCTCAGGGATGTACCAGGAGTGTGATTTGGGGTGCACAGCCGGGTCCTGTGCCCGCAGGGATCCCAGCAGGGCTCTGCTGCTTTGGGTGAGGCTGCAAGGTCAGGCTGGGGCCGAAGCTGTCAGCGCTGCTGTAGTGACAGCACAGGAAACAACTTGGCAGCTGGAGCTGTAATTGCAGAGAATGCATTAAATTTTACTGCTGTGTTTGCCCACCACTTCCTCCCATCGCAGTTGCATTTTGTGCCCAAGGGGAATCATTTATTGCTGTTCTGAAGGTGTTGCTCATTTTCCTCTGCACAACCTGTTCTGTGCCTGGCTGTGTGCAGGCAGCTCGGGCATCCCCTGTGTGCAGCCCTGGGGGACACGGAGGTTCCAGTCCTCCTGTGCCCAGCCCTGTGCCCAGCCCTGTGCCCCTGCCAGCCCTGTGCCCCTGCCAGCCCTGCTCAGGTGTGAGCTGCGCTCCCTCAGACCCCTGTGTGGCCATGGGGACAGAGATCAGCAGCAGAGTCTGAATAACTTGGTGTGGCAGGCACCTTCTTCTCTCTTTCAGGATTTTTCATAGAGGTGCATAGAGAGAAATGAAAGAGAAAGCAATTTCTATTTCTGCTCCTTGTTTTTCCCATGTGGAATGTGTTTGGAGAATTGTTTACCTGGGGTGATTGCTGGGTTGGATTCTGGTGAGGATTGTTTGAGCCTGGTGGTCAATCCAACCCACCTGGGGCTGGACTCTCAGGGTCATGATTTGTGAGTTAGATATGGTAGCTAGAAAAAGTAAGTTTGTAACTTTAGTATCTCCTTTAAATAGTATATTAATGTATTACAGCATAGTTATAAAACAGGAATCATTCAGCCTTCTGACCTGGAGTCAGACATCAGCATTTCTTCCCACCAGGTTCACCTGCATTTCCAATAAGTGCTGCTGTACCTGCTCCTGTGAGGCATCTCACTCATTTTATTGTAGTCTCTGCAGCAGAGGGGCTTAGACAGGAATGAAAGGCTGGAATTTGAATCCAAACACCTCTGCTTCCGAGAAATCCCACCAACAGACAGGAGCAGTCCTTTATTTATTGCACTATTTCAGCACTGCCTACAAGGAGAGATGGGAACACGTTGCCAGGGAAGCCCTGCAGCCAGCACAGATTTCCCTGCCATGCTGCATTTGCCTCTGCTCCACTGGCACTTGTCTGGCTCCAGAGCAGAGGTGGAGGTGTTCATGTGCAAATAAAAGACCTCGTCCTGCTCCTGCCTGACAGCTCAGGGTGGCTCACACAGGCTCTGGGCAAGGCTCTTGCCAGCTGCTCCCAGGCTGCCCACCAAGGGTTGGCAGTGCAGCCTCCCAGTCCCCAAATCCAGAGATTTCCTCCGTTATCAGTCCATTAATTTGCTGCACTGTTGCAATTAAAAAAAAAAAATTATCTTTCAGAGAGTTCAGAGTTTAGATGCCGTTGCTACATCAGACTTTGTATAATAACGTTGAATTTCATCGGCTCCGTGACCTCATTTCTTCTGTTTGTGAAGCTTTTTGTTGCCATTTTAGCAAATTTATGGCTGGCTGTTTTACTGCAGGGAGATGATCAAAGTCCAGCCTGCTGGAGCAGGCAGGTCCCTGTGGTGCCACTCTGTGGGGAGGTGGCAGACTCTGCTCTCTCTTCTGTCCCCACAACCTCAGTGGCAATGTCTTAAGATCTCCCCTGCATAGCCAGAGGGCTGGAAGGAAGGGTTTCAGGGTTGCAAATCCCCTGGCAGGTTCAGCATTTCCCCTTTAATTATTCTAGGTGATAAATAATTGATAATGAAGAACTTTGTGGTGATGGAGTTGAAATGCAAGGCCTTGGTGAGGCAGAAATGCCACAGGTGTTAAGTGTTAGCACATTAGCAGCAGATTAGAGGAATGTTTTCCAATGTTCAGTGTTTTCCAGACTTCTCAAACTCAGAAAACTTGTCCTTTAAAGCCTGAGGTCTGGACTCGTGGGTGAAGCAACTCTTGCAAGCATTTTTCAGAGTTATTTTCTGCTCTCTTTCCATCAGCCATGTGGTGCAGGGGCAGACGGGCTCTGCAAGGGCCATCCGTGGCTTTCTGGAAGAACTCCAGGAGCTTTGAGTTGGCTTTGCCTCCTTGGACTTGCACTGGGGCCACAATTGCCTGGTCTTACTTCTGTCTTGCTCCAGAGAGACCATCTGCTCCTCTCCCTTCAGGAGAAAACAGCCTGGAGCTGCTTGCTGACCATCAAGCAGGACATGGAAATGACATTTTGTGAGAGGAGCAAAGTTTGTGCATGGGCAGAGCACCCGGGGGCTGGGACATCCCCAGGACCATCCCTCTGTGGTCGGTCCCAGCCTGCTGGGTGCCAGCCCTCAGTGTAGGGATGGAAGTTTCTGCAGCCAGATGCATTTTCTGTGTTGGGGTACCCAGCAGTGGTGCTCGCCTCGTGTCCTTCCTGTGATGTTTTCCTCCACGGAACAGGATCTCCCTGGCCACGGCGAGGGCACATCCTGCTGGTGCTCTCCCCATCCCCGTGGGCTGCTGGTTTGCCCTGCGTGCAGCAGCTGTGTGGGAGGGCAGGGATGGGGCACACGAAGCAGCCATGCAGGGTTCAGAGCCGGGCCAGGCCGTGGGCGCAGCCGGAGGGAGGGAGGAGGAGGGAAGGGATGGTGGGGAAGGACAGCAGCACACGCTGGGCTCTGGGGCCAGCGGGGTGACCGCAGTGAAAGAGCCGTGGATGAACTGGGGGAGGTGACTGGCTGCAGTGTGGGGACACAGCCAGGTGTCCCTGAGTGAAGCTGGGGGCTTCCATCACGTCTTTCCTTCGCGGCGCTGCTCTAAAATCTCACCTGACGTGGGGTAAGAAATAGTGAGGGTTGGGTGTGTACCGGTGTTATCCTGCAGAAATATCCTGGTTTTCTCCCTGGAGCTGGGCTCTGGTGAGGTGCTGCCTGCCTGCCCCGTGTCACTGTGCCACCATGTCACTGTGTCACCCTGTCACCTTGCCCTTGTGTGTGTGGCACGCTCTGGTGGGATGGAGCTGGAGCTCCCTGGCACTGGGGCTGCTGTAGGGTGAGGAGCAGGGCTGGGACTCTTCCCTCTGCCACCCAGAGGGGGGTTTGTGTCCCTGGCCGGGGGTCTGGGTGTCACATGAAGGGGTGGAGGAGATGCAGGTGTCCCCCGTGCTCTGCACACCTCCTGCTGTCACTGGGGGTGTCCATCTCAGACACAGGCTGTCCCCTGTGTCACACCTCTGCCCAGGGTCTGTCCTTCTCTCTGTGCCCCGCTGCCCTGCTTTGCTGGGCAGGATTTTATTCTCCTTTATCACGATGGTTTTCTTGCTGCTCTGCCATCTCACTGCAGAGGGGCCCTCTGGAGGCCAGCGCACTCCTCACTCCTGTCCAGCTCCTCCACAAATCCAGGCAAATTGGCATTTTCTTATTCTCTCCTGGACCCTCTGTTGTCACCTGCCTTTGAGCTTTTGGTGGTAGCTTTATGCCAAGCTGGCTGCTGTGGGGTGTTTGTCCCTGAGGTGCTGGGTACGCTGCCTGTGGGCTCCAGGGGAGCCAGGGGTGGCTCTGGCCTCATCTCCTGTCCAGGCAGTCACCGAGGCTGGAAACTGGGATCCTCCACCCAGCGAGGCACCTGAGGAAGCTGCTGCCATCCTCCTCTCTGCACGTCCCAAACTCCTGGAGTTAAACATGGCTCTGCAGGTTGAATCCTCCCTTCCTCGTGTGCCGTTTTCTCCTCTTCCCATTTGAGAGAACCCCCAGGTTCCCTCAAAGCCGCTCCTGTTTGCAGAGGGCTGTGATGAGTTCCTCTCTCCAGGATGGGCTTTGTCCCCCTCCTGCACCTCTGGGGATGGGCACGGGTGCTGTGTGCTCTCAGGCACTGCTTCAACAGCAGCATTCTTAAAAAAGCTTCACTTTAAGGTGAGGCCAACCCCAAGCACGTCCTCTGTGAGTGACCGTGACTGGGATCTGCCGGGGTTCGTGGATTTGGGTGTGGATTTCTTTGGGTGGTGATCCCCCTGTGGCTCCCAGGGGCAGTTCCCCAGCTTGTTCCCATTCCCATTCCCATTCCCATTCCCATTCCCATTCCCGGGCTGCAGGGCTGGTGTTTCCCCATCCTGGAGCGCTGGGGAGCGTGGCTGTGTTTGGATTAGACGCCTCTGCAGCATTTCCTGCAGCCCACGCAGCCTCCGGAGCAGCGAGTGTGGCTCTGCAGGTTCAGCAGCTGCCTCCAGGCAGGGAGTTCTCCTCGCTGGGAGAGCCCCGGAGCCGCTGACTGCCGGCAGAGCGTGGCTGTGGGGAAGCTGTAACGGGGAGATGGTGGGGAAGATGAATAAATATGATTGCCTGGCAAAAGATTTACAATAGTACAGCCAGGATGAAAATAATCCCCCCCGCTGGTTGGACAATGCCCTTACCTACAGATAGGTCCCAAAGTCAAATGGACTGTTCGATCTCACCCCCCAAAATATATGGGTCATCCCACACCTGTAACCCCACCCTGACCCCATTGGCCCAAGTCTTGTTCCAGCCCACCTTGAAGCCCCCTGATAAGGGGTCCCTGAGGAGCCAAACACTCTCTTGGAACTTCCTCTCTCTTGGAACTTCCCCTCTCTTGGAACCCCCACCCTCTTGGAACTTCCACCCTCTCCTGGAGCATCCCCTTGTCTCCCTCTACCCCTTGTCTCTCCACTCCCCCATCCCCTCAGGCCTTGCCACGTGCTGCGTCTGGCAGCTCCATGCAGGACCTTTCTCCATCCCTAATAAACCTGATATCCTAAGAGCAGCCTTCAGACATCTCTCCATCCATCCAAGCCATCCTGGAGCACAGCGTTCCCCACAGACTGGCCCCAACATTCATCCTCCCCAACACATGGCTTTCCTTGAGCTTAGCTGCAACCAGTTTCTGCCTTCAGAAGTGGACTTTGCCAAAGCCCCGTGTGCTGCTCCCAGCCCTGTGTGAGCCTCAGCCACAGGGCAGTGCCCCTGTGGCTCCAGCACCCGCTGCTGGCGTGCCAGGCAGCAGCTGCAGCTCGGTGGCTCCGTGCAGGTACGTGCCACCTCCCTGGTGGCAGGAGCTGTCAGAGAAAAGGTCTCCTCTGTCTAGGAGAGACGAATATTTCTGGGGAGCAGGTGGTGAAGATGTTTAGCAAATGTCAGCTTGAGACCTTGCCATCCTGTGGGCAGGAGTGACACTGCTGAGAAATGTGTTATCCTGTCAGAAAGCAGGAAAAAACTCCCCCAGGGGAATGTTTACGAGCGAGGCAGGGCTTTGCCAAAAGTGGGCGTTTTTCCACCACGGAGCGTGAGCTCCTCGGAGCTGTGGGAATCCTGCTCCAGCTCTCCTCCTGTCTGCTGAGCCACTCTGCCTTGTGCTCAACGCCTCAGTGGCTCCCCACAGCAAGAGAACTTGAGTGGCCTTTTCACTGATGCACCGTGCTGGTTCGTAGGTGAGCAAAAAACAATTTAAACAGAAAAGGGACCTGCAGATGGGTCCCACATACAGCTTTTCAGAGCTAAAACACCACCTAAATCTCCTTTCAGACAAACTCTGCTTGTGGTGGCACTGCAGAGACGGAGAGAAACTCGTTTGCCCAGAGTCCAGCGCCGACGTGTGAAGTGCATAATTGCATCTGGGCTGAGAGCTTTGTATGGGAGTATTGTTTGAAAATTTTCTCATTTAATAAAATGGGTGGTAATTGGCTCTTAGAAGAGAGTTTAATTGGAATAATTGGCATGGACACTGGTGTTAATTTAGTTTGGTGTTTCTAATGCACAGTCACGGTGTTTGCTCAAGAACAGAAGTGGGGATTAGGTGGTGCCCGCATTTCTCAGCACGAAGTTGCAGCTGGGCTCTGGGAAGGCATTTCTTGGAGGAAGCTGTTCAGTTAGTGCTCCTGAAGTTGGATTTTGGAGATGGATTTGCTTCATTACAGCTTGATGCAATCACACCCACGCTGCTGAGAGTCGAGGCCTTCTCTGACATTTCAGCTCCCACTTCAGATGGTTTGGGATGGGTCTTTCTGCTCGTCTGGAGCAGCTCCAGCTCCTTGGCACAGGAACATCCCTGTCCTGAGGTGCTCACACACACACGAGTGCAGGAATGTGCTCACTCATGAGCCAGCTCACAAGGAAGGGGAAGTTGGTGTTCCCTACCCAGCCTTTCATCCCTGCTTCTCTCAAGTCTCTCAAGACCCATCAGTTCCAGGTCAGTAAATCAGCACCATGAGGTTTTTCTGCGTGGAAAAAGATTTTACAGTCTCTTTCCAGAGTGGAGATACCTCAAGCTGTCATCTCAGAGCTGTTCAGGGACTGCCATGAGCTGGAGGCTCTGCTGCAGGAGCTGCTGCTCTGTGGGGTCACTGCGAGTGTGAGATGGTCACACAAAAGCCATTACAGTTCCTCAGCCTCTTCCACAGCTGTAGTTCAACAATTTCTTCCTTTTCATCTTCCCCCAAAATGCTTTTAAAGCTCAGTATTGTCACTTTGTTTGGATTCTTCTCACACAGTGACTGCACTTAGAACTGCCCAGTGTTGATGGGGAGATTTATTGCCAGCAGCTATTGTGTGAAAATTGAGAGGAAACACAATTTTCCAGGCAGCTCTTGTTAGGCCTCTAATGGGAAATATTTCTTTCGTGCTAAGAACTTGTAAATGGTTTTTAGTGTCGGATGCTGTGCTCTGTGCCTCAGGAATGCTCAGCCTTCCAGGGTTCAGCAGCACAAATGCTTCTGCCTGCAGCCATGTGCCAGCCCCACTGCACCTGCACGACGGCTGCATTCCTTCCCAACGGCGAGAGCTCAAAAAAACCCCACCAAAAACTCTGGCAAAGAGCACAGCTTGGATCTCAGAGCCCAGGGGGTGAGTGAAGTGAGGGAGGACTGGGATTCCATCCAGAGGGAGGAGGCAGAGAGGGGATGTTCCTCTCCATAACAGGGAATTGTGAGTCGGGGAGCAGAGGCTGCCGGAGTCCTGTGCCCTTTCCCAGGGATGTGCTGCTGGGATCCCCCGTTCCCTCGCAAAGGAGGAGGATTCACAAGAGGCACAGCCAGTGCTGTGTTCCAGCACAGGTTAGTGAGCACAGGAGAGCACCAAGATCCTCCCTGGGACCTGGTGGCTGCTTTTACTGAGAAGCTTTGGTGAGCTGGAACAATTACCCAAACTTTTAAAGCCTTTCCCCTCCCCACTTTAAGCTTTTTATGCTCTGTTTCCCACAGGCAGATTTTAGGGAGAGAAAGGAGTACAGCTGAACATGCTGGTGAAGATATTAATCATGATATAATTCAATTTTAATTCCGTTAGACACCTTTAGTGATCAGGGAGTTTCTCACTTGGTTTAATCGACTCTTTTCCAGATGATGAAGCTGCAAGCTCTGGCACTTGTTACAAATGTCTGTTTATTAAACCATCCTTTGTCCTAAAAGCCTTTGCCTGGCCAGCATGGATATAAATGGAGAGGATGATGTTTGCAGATCAGTCTTTAAGGAGACACTGTGTAAAAAATTGCAGCCTTCTCTTTTTCATTTTTTGTCTTTATGTGAGAGATGAGAACAGGCCAAGGCATTTTTTTTTTTGCTGTGCTTTTTACTGTAAATGTTCAAGGCAGCCAAGATCTGTGAAACAGCATTTGCTGTCACACCAGCTCCTGGAGTGGATATTCCCTTTCCACCAGATGATTTGGTCATGGCAGTTGAACCAAAAGCTGATGGGTAGATAAGGCAATGGTTGATAATAATTTAAAATCCTTTTGTGGCTTTAGCTCACCTTTGGCTCCTGCCCTGGCTTGGCAGGCAGCTCTGACATGTGTGAGGCACCTCTGGGGGGAATTCCAGGAGTTTTGGTGCAAAACTTCCTGGGGCCTCTTCCTCAGGGACACAGTTTCACACATCCTTGTTTTTTCCTTTTAATGCCTCAGGGCTGACCCCTTTGTTTGGCTGGATGTGGAAAGAGAGATGGTTTTTGTCACATCCAGGGCAGCACCAGTGTGACTTGGGTATTGCAATCCCCTGGCTGCAGGGCCTCGTGCCTCACAGCAGAGCCCACAGCTACAGCAGGATGTTGATGGGTAAGCAAAGTTTTCCTCATTGAAGTTAAAATAAGAAACGTTCTTGGAGATCAATGGTCTGGCACAACCCCCTGTTCTAGTCCTGCCCACACAGCCTGATGAGGCTGTCACAGACTCCGTGGAGTTCATGCCTCATTTCTGCAGCACACTGTGAATTCCTCTGTATGGGGACTTGCCATTTTCTCTGTCTTATATAATGTATTACAAAAAGAATGCTGAGAGAAATGAAAAAACGTATGGGAAATGGTACCTGGCATCATCCAGCGACCCTGGGGAGGGAAGAAAATGTTATTACCATGACACATAATTGGCAGTGCTGATGGAGAGCCCCAAAGCCAAAATTTCTTCTTTGAATGTCAATCATTTTCCTTGGATTTTTTTAGAAGTTTTGTGGAAGTTTTTAGACGCTAGAATTCTCCACATTTTTCAGCAGAAACCCTTAGCACCATTTAATAGGCAGACGCTGCTCTGCACCACATTACGATTTCAATACTTTCAAAGCAAAGCTGCTGCAAGAACATATTAAAAAGGGAACAAAAAAACCAAAACTTGGAGTCTTTTAAAACTGCAGAGTGGGAATCACTGTGGCATTTCGAAAGTCCCTGTGAAATCGCTTGCTGGTGAGCTCTGCCAGGCGGCTCCGGGGAGTTTGCAGCAGCGAGGGCGCTGTCTCCATCCCGGCATCGCCGGCTCCTCCGGCCGCTTTGCTGGATGCCTGCCACATCCCCGGGAGAAGCTGGGCTGAATCCGGGCGAGGAATTCCTCTGATGGAAAGGTGCCACGGGGGCTGTGGCTGCTGCCTGTCCTGCCCTCGGTCACCGAGGGTACCCAGAGCATCCCTGTCCCCCCAGCGGGACGAGGACACCGAGGGGGAATCCCGGCCCCGGAGGCACCCGCGGGGCTCAGGCCTGGGGGAGGCTGCAGGGACGTGAAGGAATGGCCGGTAATTAAGGCTCTGGGGGGGATATTAAGGAATTGACGCTGTAATTTTGCCGCCCCAGGTGGTTTTTCTGCTCCTCCTGTCCCACAACTCGGGCACGGCGCCTCTCCTACCCCGCTCCTCCTGCGGGCACCCAGGGGCATTTCCAAGGTGTTTTCGGACAGGCGGGGAGGCGCTGCACAAACGCTTAAAGCCCTAAACATTTCTGGTGCCAAGATGATCATCCCTGCTGGGAGCAGCGAGCAGCAGCTGCTGGCGGGGGAGCAGCGGTGCTTTGGGGCTGGGGGAGCCCGGAGCCCCCCAGCTCCTCCGGGACGGGTTTGGGTGCTGCCCTGGCACCTCTTCCCAGCCAGATTTGGGTGCTGCCCTGCTCAGCTCCTCCCAGGCGGGTTTGGGTGCTGCCCTGGCACCTCCTCGGATCCTCCCAGCCGGGTTTGGGTGCTGCCCTGGCACCTCCTCGGATCCTCCCAGCCGGGTTTGGGTGCTGCCCTGGCATCTCCTTAGCTCCTCCCGGCTGGATTTGGGTGCTGCTCTGCCATTTCCCCACCTCCTCCTGGCCAGATTTGGATGCTGCCCTGCTCAGCTCCTCCGGGCCGGGTTTGGGTGCTGCCCTGGCATCTCCTCCCAGTGGGGTTTAGGTGCTGCCCTGCCATTTCCACAGCTCCTCCGGGACAGGTTTAGGTGCTGCCCTGCCATTTCCACAGCTCCTCCGGGACAGGTTTAGGTGCTGCCCTGCCAGTTTCCCAGCTCCTCCCAGCCGGGTTTGGGCTCTGCCCTGGCACTCCCCAGCTCCTCCCAGCCCGGTTTGGGCGCTGCCCTGGCACTGCCCTGCGCATCACCGCCTCCCTCCCGTGGTGCCCGCACTGCTCCGCTCCAGCGCAGCCGGGGCTGAATCAGGCTCGGGCAGCCCAGCCCAGCCCTACCCGGCCCTGCCCAGCCCTGCCCAGCCGTGCCCAGCCCTGCCCAGCCCTGCCCTGCCCAGCCCTGCCGTGCCCAGCCCTGCCCAGCCCTGCCCAGCCCAGCCGTGCCCGGCCCCGCTCTCATTCCATCCCGGGAGGCGCACGGTGACCCCGTTATGTACTCACCTGGAAAAGTGCCTTGGCCGTGCCACATTGCTGTGCTCTGCCGGGACACTTCTCATGCTTCCCTTGCACATCTATATTTAGATTTGACCCGAGGGCTTTTGATTTCCTCGCTGCCTTGAGCAGCTGCGACAGGTACACGCTTCCCTCCCCTTTGCCCCCGGCCACTTTAAGCTGCCAGCAGAGCAGGAGGGGATGGGGAGTCACTGAAACGCTTCAGGCTCGCATTGCTCTGCTCGTGAGCCTGTCAGGGGCACGCAGGAGTGGGAAGGGAGATTTGCTCAGCAGCTGCCCGGCCGTGCTCCATTTCTCCTTCTCCCTGCTCAGCAGCCGCGAGTTGCCGCGCTGGGTTTGCAGCTTTCGTGTTCGTCGCTGATGAGCCACACTCAGAGAGGTAAAAATGCCTTTGCAAGGGCTGCGGTGACAGTTCTGGGATTCATTCAGCACTTACGTAAGGGCTGCTCCCCGCCAGCCAAATCCAGGGGTTTGCTTTGGGAATCGCCCCCATCCATCAGGACATGGCTGCTGGGCACCCACCGAGCCCCAGCACTGGGAGCAGCCTCCTGCCTCTGGGTGGGAGGGAGATTTCAGGGCACTGCTCCTATTACTGGGCAGTTTCTGGAGTTCTCGGTCCTCTCCTTTAAGCCCCAACATGTGGAAGTTGTCAGCATTTGAAATGTTAATTCAGGGTACATTGGCAAGAGGAGAGAAATCAAAGGCTCTTCTGGTATCAGCCCGTCCCCCTCTGGGCTCACAGCCTGCCTGCAAGCTCTGGATGTGTTTTCTTACTTTACATAATTTTTCCATCTCTCTCCATCAGCCCAGCTCTTCAAAGGCTTCCTTCTGTTTCCAGCTCTCTTGCAGCTGCTAAATACACTCTCCTCTGTGCTTTCCAAAGCGTTCCTCCTTCCCCAAAACTCCCTTGCTCCGGTTTATTGGAGGAGTCTCCCAAACTCTGCTGAGGAGCTGCTGCCTGGAGCTGTTGGGTTGTGCTGCCCGGTTCAGCTGCCAAGGCCAAATGGGGGAAATGAGGGAATAAAACAGAGGCAGTGAAATTCTGCCTGTGTCACACGAATCTTCCTGGTGCTTGCTGTGGCCCCTCTTGGTCTCCGCAGATGTGTGGTGGTGTCAGTGAATATCCGGTGCTCCCCCACTCTCCTGGTGGGTCGGTTTGGATGCCAAGGACCCCCCAGAAGTGCAGGGGGGATGGAGCAGCCCCCCAGCCCCACCGTGGATCCCGCAGAGATCCCTGGAGGTGAATCCCCTGCAAAGGTGGACGTGGCTGCGGCTGAGACTCCGGAATGGAGAGAGGGAATTTGGTTCTGTGATTTTGGCAGCAGCCCTCAGCTGCTGTCCCAGCCAGATGCTGCGATGACAGAAATCCCTGCAGTTTGTGAACTTTTCCTGAAATGCTTTTAATGACAGTTTAATAATAACACTTAGTGCTCGGTGCAGAGCTTCTCACCCCTGGAAGCGCAAGGCTTTCGTGAGAAGGGTTGGGACCATTATCCCCCCTGTGAGCAGGGGGGAATAGCTGCTTTTATTTGTGAGCCTAATTATAACGAGTGGAATTAATCAACTTTTCATATGAATGGCGTTGCTTTTTAAAGACAAATGTCAGAGAGGAGTCCCAGGGAGCTCGAAGTGGTGTAGATCCATCTGATGGCTTCTCAGGGAACTCGTCAGAGCCTGTGGTGCCGAGGCATTAACCCTGCCAAGGCAGAGGGAGGAGGGAACAGAAAGGCGAGGCAGGGCACAGCGTGGCTTTGCTGGTGCCCTGCTGTCCTGCTGAAAGCTGTTGGGGGTTATTCCCCCTGTCCTTCCCCTCTCCAGCTGCTCAAAGCCCATTATTTGGCAATATTCTCCCAGCTCCCGAGTGCCCTCTGATCCTTAGTGCTCCCCGTGTAGCGCATGGAGAAATTCCATTGAAATAATTCCTTTAGTCATTGATTAGTTGCTTAGTGGGAGGACTCGAAGAGGCCATAACCTCTTCCTGTGAAGTCACTGAGGTTTGGGTGTTTCCCCCCTCTTCTCTGTCCTGTTCTACATCCCCCTGGTGCATCCTGGCCCTCTCCAGCCTGCAGGGAGCCCAGGCAGGTGGAGGCTTCTTTTGGCTGGGGCCTCTTGGTGTGACAGTAATGGGCAGTGAGTGACCAAGGCCTGTGAGTGCAGGTGGGAGAGTCCCTGAGGTGCTCTCAGTGCTGCCCTGCTGCTCACACCCCATTACTGGAGGGATTCGCCTCCAAGGACACCAAAATCCTGGGAAATCCTCCCATTACCTTTGGCACTCAGCTGCAGGGAGTGGGGAAGGCAGGACCCAGCACCCCGGGGCACAGAGGGCACAGGAGCTTTGTGTGTGAGTGCTTTGAATTGCAAAGTGTGGCTGGGGCGTCCCCTGGCCCTGCTCCAGCAGCACCAGCCCCATGGATCCGTGTGTCTCCTGTGGGGATCAGCCCCAGCTCACCTGGATGCCCCATGGATCCATTTTTCTCCCAGGGGGATCAGCCCCAGGACAGCCTCAGCTCACCTGGATGCTCCACAGATCCATGTTTCTCCAAAAAGGATCAGCCCCAGCTCACCTGGATGCCCCACAGATCCATGTTTCTCCCACAAGGACAACCCCAGCTTACCTGGATGCTCCACAGATCCATGTTTCTCCAAAAAGGATCAGCCCCAGATCACCTGGATGTCCCATGGATGTGTGTCTGTCCCAAAAGGACAACCCCAGCTCACCTGGATGTCCCACAGATCCGTGTTTCTCCAAAAAGGACAACCCCAGCTCACCTGGACGCCCTCTCTGGGAGTGGCAGGTAGGATTCCTCCTCCACCCCATCTTTTGCAGCCCCTCAGGAGGGCTTTGATCCTCTGAGCATTTCAGATTTCCTCTTTGACAGAGCCTGCTGCTCTCCCAGCACTGCTGAGCTCCTGCGCCCATGCCAGGGAGGATTCTCCTCTCCAGGCTAATGGAGAGAAAATGGAGAGAAGATTTTTTAATTGACTCGGGATCAATAGATAAAAGTGTTTCCTAAAAGCACTTTTATTAATAAATACCTACATAAATCCCTTCCCAGGCATCTGCTGTAGGTTGTAATATCCACGATGTGAGCTAATCAATGTATTGGTACTGTATGTTTGACAGTGAAAGGAACTGGAGCTCTTTGGGCTCAGCTCGCACTAACTGCAGTTCCAGGAGCTGATGGATACTCACAGATCCTGGCAGAAGGAGCTGCTTTGTTAGGAAAAGAGTTCCTTGGGCACTCCTGAGCAGGGTGTGCTGGCAGGGGAGCAGCTGAGGGGACCCTGGCAGTCCCTGCGGGCTCCGAGGGTGTCCATGTGTGTGTGGGAGCAGCTCTGGCACTGCACAGGCAGGGAAAGGCCAAGTTCTACACAGAGAAAGAGGATGAAGCACCAACATTTTTTGTTTTCTTTATTTTTTTAATTATTTTTTTCTTTTTGGCAAATTTACTATTTTCACTGAGACAAATGTCAGAGGAAAAAACATTCTGGTGAGGAAGCAGAAGCTCCTTTTTCTGTGATTTTAACTTCCCATTGGGATAGAGAACGATTAGTGAACAGAGAAAAAAAAAATCAAATCTTTAGATTTTCTCAGAAACATGGGCATTTCCAGGCAGTTCTGCTGCAGAGGGATTTTTCAGCTGCTGTTTTTTCTAGCTTGGCTGCAGGGTCCTCAGTGGGATGGGGTTTTTTTTTGCAGGGTTCTGCCTCAGCCTTGGCAACTTCCAAACCTTGGCAGCTTTTGAAAAGCAATTTTGCAGAGTGCCTGGTGACAATGTGGGGCATTCCCTGGCAGCTCAGGGCAGAGCTGCTCCTTGTGCACTTTGTGAAAAACACTCCAGCAAGAGGCTGTGCCAGGCAGCTTTGTGCATTTAACTGAGCATTACTTACCCCTGAGGTTTATTGAGCTGATAATGTCACGCTGTGACATTTGTTGGGGTCTTGAAATACAGGAGGTGTTTGTGGCAGTCATAAATTACTCGGGATCTTGTTTTTCCTCGGTGTTATTAAATAAATAAAGGGAGGTCAGGGTTGCTCTGCAAAGGCACAGGAAGGCACAGGGGCCATGCAGGGAAAGGTGATTTTCCTGGAGCTGCTTGCCAGGTGTGGCCAGGGGTTCCTGGGGGATAATAATGAGCATTAATGGCTTTGCAGCTGGGGGTGCCTGGAGTTAACACTTTATTTGTATGAACACAGCCCCTCCTTAGAGCAGCAGCTCTGATAACACCTCCTCTGAGGCTCTGACTTCCAAAGTGTGATTTCCCACCCAGGTTACCTCTTGTGGGTTTGGAATGGTTTTTGCAGGGCTGATTCCTTTCAAGATTTTACAACACATTAACCTGGCTTTCCCTGAAGGGGTGTTGCAAACAACACCCAGGGTTGTATCTCAACAGAGCAGGTTTGTTTGCTAGAAAATGGGAAAAACTCAACCCCTTCCTGTATCATCAACTCCTTCTAATGGACAGGGCGATGCTTTATTATTAATAAGTTGGATACGTGAGGAAAGGGAGTTTTGGCAGCCAGGACTAAAAGTGGTCTTGATAAAAGGGAGAATATTTAACAATGCAGTTGCCGTGGATTCAATTAAGAGCAATGGAGAATCTGCTTCTCCCTTAATCTTATTTTCTGAAATATTATTACCCCTGCAACTGCTGCTCAGCAGTTCCCAGCCATCTCTCCACAGCAGTGGTCTCTGCATAATGTGGATGCTGAAATGAGAAATCAGCACTTTGTAATGGGCTCTCAAACTAAAATTACACATCACTTTCCTGGCTTGCAGTCAGATGGTTGGCATTCAGCTGGCTCGGGAAGCGTTTCTGGACCAGAGGAATTCTTATCTGGGCTTTGGTGTTGCCGAGGTTGTGTTGTGTTGGATTTTCCCCTGGATTCCCTCGGAGGACGTGCTGCCGTGTCCCCTGGGCAGGGGCACAGAGGACGTGTCCCTGCAGGGCTGGCTCGGGTGGCAGCCACGGCTCTTTCTAGGAAAAGCTGCTTCCCTGCCAGGGGAGCGTTCTGCCTGTGCTGGCTGTGCTGGGCTGCCTTTGCTGGGAGCTTCTGCTTCACCCCTGGGCGCAGCAGGAGGGAGAGGAGAGGTCTTGAGGAGAATTGGGAACACGCTGCACTGCTGAGAGGAGTGGTTTTGGATGGAGCACAGCAGAGGAGCTGCTCTGGGGGATCAGCTGGGCTCTCAGGGGTTCTGCTCACATCCCTTCTCCCCCAGTGTGAGAACCCTGGGCTTGCTCTGGGGTCTCGTGTGGTGGAAATGTCTCTCCTCCAACCCAAGCTTCCAAAGAAAAACTCTGCAGCCTCTTGTTGTTGGGTCTCAAGGCAGTTTATAGTGAGTTATCTAAAAGATTTTCTTCTCGGGCTGTGGCTGTTTGGTCAGAGACACCTGATTGCCCCATCCCAGTGGCTCTCTGGTCCAGGAGGATTTATCAGGGCACGTTCCAACCCAGAGGGCTGACAGATTAAATTTGGTGTTTGAGGACAACACCCTGAAGTGAAGAGAGGTGGAGCAATAAATTGAAGAGTCTGAATCAAACCATGAAGGAGAAAGGAATGACTTGGGTGAAAAATTAATGTATTGAGCTAATGAATCATTTTGAGGCAAAACAAGAAATTAAATGTACACTGAAAGCTGGCACATTAAGAAAAGGGCTGTGGGTTTTTATCCATTTTGCATTACAAAATGCAGAAACAAAGCATGTCGGATGGTGAAATCCCATTAAGAAATAACGCTGTGAACAGGGAAACCAGGATTTGGTTAACAGGAAATTTTCAGGCACTGCCTTTGTGCCACGGGGCAAATGATGGCTGGGTACTGATGCCAGGGGGAAGAGCAGAGGGCAGAGTGCCTGACAGCTCCTGGCAGCAGGGAGAAGCAGAGGACTGGCCTTTTCTTCCCAGAATTTGGCACGGGATGGTGATTCGGGGTGTTCTGACAGCCTGGCAGAGCGATGGAAGGTGAGGCTGGGGCATGGAGCTGTGCCAAAGGGAATTGTCAGCCCTTCATTCTGAAAGGAAAGCACTTGAATCCCAAAATTCCCATCCAGGGCAGCTCCTGCCCTGCTCTCCCAGCCTCCTGCTCCCAGCTGCAGGTTCCAGCTCTGCCCCGACCCTTGCACTCACTTTTTGTACAGCCACGTTTAAAGAAATCCCGTGTGGAGCCTGACTATTGGCATTGGTTTAGGTCACGACGTGGTGGCCACCAGTGAATTTATTCTTTATTTCCAGCCTGCAGAGGGGCAGCACTGCCCTGCAGTGGGGCTGGGCCGCGGGGCAGCCCTGGTGTGATGTGTTGGCACCCCTTGGGGTGGGGCTGGCACCCCTTGGGGTGGCATTGGCACCCCTTGGGGTGGGGTTGGCATCACTTGGGGTGGGGTTGTCACCCATTGGGATGGTGTTGGCACCACTTGGGGTGGGGTTGTCACCCCTTGGGGTGGGGTTGTCACCCCTTGGGGTGGCATTGGCACCCCTTGGGGTGGGGTTGTCACCCATTGGGATGGTGTTGGCACCACTTGGGGTGGGGTTGGCACCCCTTGGGGTGGGGTTGGCACCCCTTGGGGTGGCATTGGCACCCCTTGGGGTGGGGTTGGCACGCTGGGGGTGCCATGGCAGGAGCTGGGTGACACTGAGCTGTGGTGACACTGCTGTCCGTGGTGCTGAGCCCTGTGCCCCACCCAGGCTGTGGCACCTCCAGGATGCTTTTTGCTCCTGGCTGCCATCAAAGGCAAGCAGGGGCAGCTCTGCACTGGTGGCATTCCCAAAACAGGGAAGGATCCACGATCCTTTTCCCCAGTCCTTTGCAATCCCACCTGTGCACTCGGGGGTTCTCTCCAGCTCATCTCTCCCCCGGCCACGCTGAATTCCCTTTTCTGTAGGATATCTTGAGAAATGGATGCCAAGAGTGCTGAAGGAGCAGCAGATTTTGCTGTCACCTGAAGAGGGAAAGGTGAGTCACGCCGGGCCAGGTGACACACACCTGCCTGGCCAGGTGAGCAGGAACTGAGCCCCGCTGGCCGCTCGCAGGGAGCAGCAGCCAGTTCCTCTCTGGCTTCCTTCCCAGAGGGTGCATTTAGGAGGGGACAGAGCTCTGCTGCTTTGTGGCCGAGAGAGCCAAACCTGCTGAGTCTGTTCCCTGGCACGCAGTGTGCACGCTGCTCTGTACACAGCGGAATGAGATAAAATAGCTTCCTCCTCCTCGTGTTGCTACCGAAAAACAGTGATGGGGAAAAAAAATAATCCTTCAGCCCCTGCCCTGCCTGTGGTGAGAAGAGCAGCGCAATCCTTCTTTTGACAGAGTCGGGCAAGGCAATTTCATTATTTAGCAAACAAAGCCCTTTCAGAGATTTCTGCATCGTGGATGTTTTCTCGGCGGCTTTGCACCAGATTTGTTGCAGCAGCAAGGCCGGAGAGTTTGCCTTGACTCCCCTCACTACCAAAATAAATGTACAGGGCAGGATTGTTCCACTGAGCAGCCGTGACTGGGGAGAGAGAAGAAGGAAGGAGATGGTACGTGCCGACAGCCCTGAACTGATTGCGGTGAGGATTGCTATGTACGAGAGAGTTCAGGGGGGAAACAGGAGCAAGTCACAGAGGCAGCCGAGGCTCGCAGGATGGCAAGAGCCAAGCTGAAGAATTCCCCTTCAGAGAGCAATTCCCACGTCAAAACCGTCCCACCAGCGACGACAGAAGATGTCCACGGGGTGAGCCCCTTGTTACCGTCTCGGAGGATGGGATCCATGGGGAGTGATGTCGGACAAAGGTATTGCAGGACTGCAGTGCTGCTGGGGAGGCCGGGCGGGGGAGGCTGCACCTTTTATCTTTTAAATGAGAGGGAAAGGATTAGTGCCTCCACGGGCTGGAGGGGTGGTGGATCAAATCCTTTGGAGAGCTATGTTAAAGAGCCACGCCGGCGCTAAAGTTGTGTTATGAAATAGGGAGCTGGAGCAGAAGGAAACCAGATCCTTTAAATTTTTTATAGGTGCTTCTTGATTTTTTTTTTTAAATTTTATATGCCTGAAGCATGTCTGAATGACAGCCTAAGACCGTGGGGCTGCCACACAGCACTGTTAACTTGCACTGCACCTTCCCTGTGCAGTAGAAACCCCGAGCTTATTTACACTGCCAACGCCACGGTACACACTGTGCATTAGCACCATGTTGGTGTGGCAGGAGAGATGCTCGGTCCCCATCTGAGCAATAATTCATTTGTAACTGCAATAAAAAACCCCAAAGAGCTGCCATAGGAAATGCTGCAGCCTTCCTGCAAGCACAGAGCTGAGCGTAGAGCGAGGAAGGAGCTGTTTTCCAGGAGGAGGAGAACGCGCTGCGCTGGGATTTCAGCGATTCGGAAGGAGCCAGCTCCCCTGGTTACGATGAGGATGCAAATGTCACGAATTCAGTTCTCCTTCTGTCCGTTCCATTTTCTGTTTCATTCTTTTCCCACCATCTAGCCAGCCCTTCAGCCCGTCCATGCTGCCTCACCTGTGACTGTGTACTGTATGCCTTCTAGGATGTAATTTGGTGCAAATGAGCACGGCAGGAAAGCTCCTGCTCGGGGAGCGGAGGGGAATTTTACTTGTTTGATTTAGGCTGGGATGAATTAATGCCTCAGCTTCTGCCTCTTGGCATATCTGGGGGGAGGGTGGCACCGAGCCAGGGCCAGCAGCGAGGTGCTGCCGGGGAAGCCGAGGAGGGAGGTGCGTGCTGGGGAGCGCCGGCGCGGCTGCTGCCGGTGCCGGGCACATGTTCAGTCTCCAGGTCTGGGAGGCAGAGCCCTGGCACACTGAGGAGCTGGGAGCGTGTCCCTGGCATGGTGTGCCAGCGCTCCAGATGGCTCCGGTGCCAGGGCTCTGGGGAGGAAACACTGGGAGCTGGTGGGGCAATGCCTCTGCCTCTGCCAGGCGAGGGCTCACAGGTGTGAAGGCTGAGTGGGCATCGTGGGTGCAGTGGGACTAAATCCCTGGAGCTGGTGTGGTCTCAGGATGTTTTGGCAGTCTGGGTGTTCTCCCGGGGCTGGTCAGGCTGTCTGGGGTCTGGTTTTGTGCTTGGTTTCACTGCTGTAAAAAGGCACCGAGGCTGGACCTGTGCTGGGGGTACCCGAATCTCTGAGGACGCCTCCTGAGCACCGCTGTGGGCAAAGCCTTTGGAGCTTCCTCTCTGTGCTCTCCCAGGTTCTGGTGCTGTCCCCTCAGGACAGGGCCAGTGGTCAAACCAGATGTGTAGGGGCCAGAAAAGCACATCTGGGAGACTGCTGCAAACTCATTCCACTGCTCAGCAGTGATGAAACAGCCAGAGGGGTTGCTCCTCTCTGGCACCCAGGGGTTGGTGGATTCCTGCCCAAGTCCAGGGGCCAAACCTTCATCCCAGGGCTGATCCTCCTCGTCTTTTGTGGGAGCACAGCATAAAGCAGGGATGCTGCAAGGCGCTATTGGGTCTGGAGGGCAACAATTTCAAAAATCACACCCCTGCGGTGTTTCGGTGGACCCTCGAGAGAAGGTGCCCTAGGGCTGTATAAAGACCAAATTCCCTGGGTTTCACCTAGATTTTAAGAGATTTGCTGCAATCTTGTCGTGAGAGACTGCTGCTGTGAGGTGCAGAAGTTGGTGGAGCTCTTTGACGCCCCTGTGCAGAGCCCTGCCGTGTCTGGATTCTCTCTGCCAGGATCTCCTCCTGCCCTGGGCACTGCTTCCCAACAGTGAGTTGGCAATTAAGGTCGAGATTTCTGCACTTCTCTTCCCCTGCTGCAACGAAGGCAGGAGGATTGGTTTGGAAGGGATGAGCAGCGAGTTTGAGATGCTCTTGTCTCCCAAAGCCAGACTCCAGCAGCGTTACCAAGTCAGCAGCAATTGTCCCTGGGAGCTGGGAGTGGGTTCCAGGTGATGGTGGAAGGAGATGTGTGTTACAGGGTGTTCTCAGGATGCAAATGATTCCTCCTGATGATTGAAGCCAGGGAAATCTATTCTCACCTACTTTATTTACCTCCTTACTCTGAGTCACTGCGGCATCTCAGAGCTTTTAGGGGTTCCCAGTCAAAACAGGAGGAAAGGATTTGAATTCATCTGAGGAAAAACCACCGCACAGCTGGGGAGCAAAAAGGGGAATTCAGGACTGCCCCCGGGCATCCAGGACAGGGACATTTTCCTGTGTCTGGTGACCTGCAGGTGAGATGGGACAAGCCCTTGTGGAAGTATCCTCCGGCAAAGAGGCTTGGAGATATTTCTGTGTGCCAGGGATTGCTGTGAGATGGGGATGGGACTGGGAGCCTCCTGGCCATGCACAACAGCTGCCTGGGCACTGGCACTCCCCTGGCACCGGGGGACAGTGACTGGAAGCAGCCAGGAGAGGCTGAGTCCCTTCCTGCAAGGCAGGCTTTTCCTGAGGCAGGTTTGTCCCTTGTGCTGGGGGACTGAAGGGGAAGCAGAGCTGCACACTCCGTGTTTGGGAAGGAGCTGCTGGCAGGGGGCAGGACATGCAAACATCTCTTTGGATCCCAGCTCATGGACCAACAATCTCCCTGTAGCACCCCAGGTGTGGGTTTGAAAACACAAACAAAGGTTCTTACAAGAGAACCATGTCCTGCCTGTGCAGCTCTGCTGGAAGCAGGGGAAGCTCTGACCACTGCCAGTCCCAGGGCACACTGGGACTCCAGAGGGATTGCAAATATTCCTGTTTGCTGTCTGGTTTGGACACTCTTCCTCAGCCCTTGGCAGGGCTCTGTGTCCCCTCCCTGTCCCGTGGGCCTGCCCTCGGCTCCTCAGCTGTGTTTGCTGAGCTGCTGGGAAGAGAACAGTGAGGTTTGGGAGGAGGATTAGCATTGCAGAAGAGCTGGGCTTGGACAGGACCTGCAGGGCTCTGCTCTGGACCGGCTTTAAAGTTGTCCCAGCTGGCTCAGAACCAGTCCTGCTGAGTTTTGAACATCTCACTGGACATTTCTCAGCTTCTCTGGGTGCTGGGTTTGTTCATTCTCAGGTGAATAATTGTACCTGCTCCCTCCTGTCCTTTTGCTGTGTGTCCCAGAGGAGCCTGGCTGCTGCTTTCCCATCGGGCAGCCCAAGGCAGCAGCTGGATCCTTCCCTCCCTTTCCTTCTCCTTCAGGCTGCACACCCCCCACAGCCTTGCCTCGTCTCTCAGTTTGAGATATTTTTGGCAGGAAAAAATGGGACTCTGCTTCAGCCCTGTTACAGTCAACAAGGTGGCTGGAGTCTCCTCAGTGGGAACGAGCATCTCTCTGCTAGGCTGAGCTTAACGTGAGGTTCTTGGAGGTAAAGCGCTCCAGAGAGTGAGGAATTCACCCAAATGTGTCTGAAAATAGAATTTCTGACTGATGGATATTTGTTCCCCCTCAGGGGCAGCCTGGAATTAACAAACAGATAAATGTGGGGCTTTTTGTTTGACATTTGCACACAAAGGAACCACGGAGAGGTCCAGTCTGGCCAGTGCAGCCACTGCAGCCACTCAGTGCTTGCAGGAGCTCTCCAGGTGAGGCTCTCCATGGGACACAATTCCCTGCTGAACCGCTGCCGTGCTGCGGAATTCCCTCCTGCAGGGACAAAAAGGCAATTTATTTATTTTTAACGTTTCTTTAACAAAAGCCAAGACCTTTCAGAGCCCTCTCTCTGTCCTCAGCAAATGCCACTGTGCTGGTTTGCTGCCTCAGCTCTGGGTGAGGTGGTTTTGTGCAGGAGAAATGCTGTGCCAGGGACATCTCCTGGGTGGGGTTTGCCTTGGGTCTTCTGCTGCTTCTCTGCTGGCTGGGGATGAGGGTTTGTACCCGAAATCTGAGCAGGCTGGAGGTGTCAGGATGGTCTGTGCCACACCTGGCCCTGCACTGCTCTCCCTGAGCTGGGGCCATCAGTGTCACTCTGGGAGGGAGGGCTGGGGCATGGCTGGGGGAGCCTTTATGGAGAAAAAGAGAATTTGGGGGATCTGACACGTTTTCCTCATGAAGCTCTTTGGCTTTGATGTGCTTTGCTCTGCTGGGCTGGGCAGGCCAGGCTGGGATGTGTTTTTTGGGGTATGTCTGGGTGGAGGGCATTGTGCTGTGGGCTGTGCTGTTGATCTCTGCCCACCCTGGAGCATCTCCCAGCCTTGGGCTCCAAGCACCCAGCCCTCCCCTGGCTGTGTGCCCGCTGTGCCCGGGGAGGGCTGAGCAGCCCCTCTGCTGTCAGCCTTGGCTGTGCTTCCCCTGGGCTCTTCTGCCAGGCCAGGGAGGTGGCCCTGCTGGCATTTCTGGGATTTCTCTGGGGATGCTGAGGGTGTTTGCAGGGCAGGGAGCTCCGGTGCTGGGCTTGGCTATCAGGGAAATACTCAAACACCGGGATGCTGATGATCAGGACATGATCCCAAACACAGGGATCCTGATGATCAGGACTGATCCCAAACACAGGGATACACAAACACAGGGGTTCTGATGATCAGGACATGATCCCAAACACAGGGATACACAAACACAGGGATCCTGATGATCAGGACTGATCCCAAACACAAACACCGGGATGCTGATGATCAGGACTGACCCCAAACACAGGGATACACAAACACAGGGGTTCTGATGATCAGGACTGATCCCAAACACAAACACCGGGATGCTGATGATCAGGACATGATCCCAAACCCTGCTGGCAGCTCCATCCCTCACTCCCAGCAGAGCTGTTCATCAGCACGGCAGCGATTCCTCCCTGGGCTGCAGAGTCGGGGCCTGAGCCTCCTTCTTTTCCTTGCCCTGGAGTTGCTGGAAGTGCCCCAAAGGGCTGGAAGTGC